GGAATATCATTGGGATTTTGATTGGAATTGCATTAAATCTGTGTAATGCTTTTAGTAGTATGGCCATTTTGACAATATTAATTCTGCCTATCCAAGAACAAGGGAGATATTCACATCTTCTAAGGTCTTCTTTAATTTCTTTCTTTAGTGTTCATTGTTTTCATTGTAGAGGTCTTTCACCTCTCTTGTTAGGCTGATTCCCAAGTATTTTATTTTTTTGAGGCTATTGTAAATGGGGTAATTTTCCTTATTTCCCTTTCTGAGGATTTGTCACTGATATACAGAAATGCCTTTGGTTTATGGGTGTTGATTTTGTATCCTGCTACTTTGCTGAATTCATTTACTAGTTCTAGAAGTTTTCTGGTGGAATTTTTTGGATCTTCTAGGTATAGAATCATATCATCAGCAAATAGTGCTAATTTGAGTTCTTCTTTTCCTATCCATATCCCTTTAATTTCTTTCATCTGTCTAATTCCTTGATTCACTTTGAATTGAGTTTTGTGCATGGTGAGAGATAGAGGTTTATTTTCATTTTGCTGCATATGGATTTAAAATTTCCCCAGCACCATTTATTGAAAAGGCTATCTTTTCTCCATTGTATGTTTTTGGCACCTTTGTCTAGTATGAGATAACTGTATTTATGTGGGTTCGTCTCTGTGTCTTCCATTCTGTGTCATTGGTCTATGTGTCACTTTGGTGCCAATATCATGCTGTTTTGTTATTATAGCTTTGTAGTATAGTTTAAGGTCTAGTATTGTGATGCTTCCTTTTCTTTCATATAAATGCCTAAGGATGGGATTATTAGGTCATATGGTATGTGTATTTTTAATAGTATCAGGGATTGTGATACTGTTTTACAAATGGGCTGTAATTTTTTCACATTCCTTGCAGCATGTATGAGATTTCCAAATGCTGACATCCTCTTCATATGTGTTATTTTCATAAGTGTTTTTCATGCTGTTCATTCTAGTTGATGTGAGGTAATAATACCTTGTGATACCTGGTGAAGGTGAGCATCTTTTCAAGTACTTATTAGTGACTTGCATAGCTTTTCCTGTGAACTTTTATTCACCTCCATGGAGTGAAGTGTTGTCTGTCTCATTAATAAGTTGTAAATGTTCTTCATTTATTCTGGATTTTGGCCATCCATTCAACATGCATCTTGGAACAGTTCTTTTCCTTCTGTGGCACTCTTGTGTCAATTTAGTATAATATCAAAGATGAACAGCCAGTTATTGAAAATGTTATTAAAAATATTCCTCCTGCACATTTGTGTAAGGCTACACTTTTTTTTCCAACAGACTAAATGAGGAAAATACACTATCTAGCATTCTCTAATGACAAATAGAAAGGACTTTCAAAGTTGTAAAATGTAAAACAATCCAGTCTTCCAATTAAATCTTCTGATTTTGGAAAACACTTATTTCTTTTTAAAATTATTGTGTCTCTTAACATTCAATAACTTATTAATACTTAGAAGAAATAACATATTTAAAATGGAATTAATTTCTAATATGGCAAATATTGATAGACATCATCCACAAAAGCATGATTACCTCTGGAAGGCACACTTTCTTAGAGCATATAAAGATCTCTGAAAACAAAACGTTTGAGAACTGATGATTTACACCCTGGGTCAGGAATCAAGGTATGGTGTAACAAAGAATATTTAGTAAAGAGGAGTGTTCTGAGAAAGTCCCAGCCCTGGGCGGGGTTCTCAGTGTCTGGGTGTGGGTTCAGAGCACTGGGGATTCCCCATCTCCCTGGACTTTCATTTCTTCTTCTTCCAACTTGGGTAATGTCGTTCTGCCCCGACACATCTGATGCGACCTCAGTTATTACTCCCATTGCGTGTCTTTTTCCTAGAAAAGCCAACAACGTTACGGAGATTCGGTTTTAAAGTTCACCCCCCCCCCCCCCCCGCCCCAGTCCCCGGCCCCAGAGCTGCAGAGTGGGGTAATGACTCTCCAAAAGTTGCTCCTGCTGCCTTCAGGGGCTCTGGCCCTGGCCCGGACCTGGGCTGGTGAGTGTGAGGTCGGGAGGGAAACGACCTACATCCCTTGAGCACGGAGGATCCGGGGAAGCCATGTCCCCTGTTGCCCCTGGCCCAGACCTTCCCCACCCTGGCGCGGCTCATCCTGACCCTCCACTCCCGCCCCTAAGTCCTGCCCTCCCGCGTCCCACCGCCCCATTAGCGCCTCTAGACTCCACTTCTTTCCTCCTGGCGTTGTCAACCTGGGACCTGGGAGAGGAGCCTGAGGAGGATAGCAGGGTCGCGAGGGTCTTAGTCCCTTCCCTCCCCTAGGCTCTCACTCCATGAGGTATTTCGACACCTCGGTGTCCCGGCCTGGCCCCGGGGAGCCCCATTTAATCTCTTTGGGCTACGTGGACGACACTCGTGCTCTTTGACAGCGACTCCAAGACCCAGAGGATGAAGCCCCGAGCGCCTTGGATAGAGCAGGAAGGGCCTGAGTATTGGGAACGGAGACACAGAAAGCCAGGAAGACCTACAGACTTACGGAGGGAGTGGACTTGAACACCCTGAGCGGCTACTACAACCAGAGCGAGGGTGGTGAATGACCTGGCCCCTGTCGGAGGTCGCCACGGCTCCTATTCCTCAAGGATGGTCCTGAGTCGACAGGGATTCCCCAAGCCGAGCTTCACCCCAAGGCTGAGGGACCCTCGGAGACCCTCGGAGACCCTCGACCCAGAAAACGCCCGCGGGGACTGTGATCAGGTTTCATTTTCATTTTAGAGGAAAAACCCGTAGGGTGTGTGGGGCGGAGACGCGGGTGACCAGGGCAGGGACAGGCTCTCACAGTACCAGATGTATGCTGCTCATACCCGCGCGTCTTCCGCGGGTATGAGCAGCACGCTTAAGGTGGCGTGGATGACTTCGCCCTGAACAAGGACCTGCGCTCCTGGACAGCAGCTGACAGGGCGGCTCAGATCACCTAGCTCAAGGGGGGAGATGCAGGGGTCGCAGAGCACCAGAGGGCCTATGCGGAGGGCACCTGTGTGGAGTGCCTTGCCAGATACCCAGAGAACGGGAAGGAGATGCTGCAGGGCATAGGTATGAGCGGCTTCAGGACACCTGCCTTATGTCCTATAGATCTCTCCACTAGTTCCAACAAGGAGGGGAGGAGAATGGCACCCATGCTGGAACAAGGCCCTGTTCCAAACCAGAAGGAAGTGAGTTGGCCTGAATTCCCAGATGTTGTAATATAGAGTAACTGAAGGTTGCTTTCTCTCAGGACGAGTAAAGGATCCTGCCTCTCTCTCCCTGGCTGGTGGGAAAGACAATAAACAACTGAGCACAGTTCCCTGGCAGAAGTCTTGGTATCAAGAAAGGTTGTCAGGTCCATTGCATCCAGTGACTTTAGAGGTATGACTCCAGCTTTTCCACATAGGACTGATTATTTCCCTACAGTTTCCCTGCTGCCTTGCTAGTCCTCCCATTTCAATTCTGTTCTCAACTCAATCATACGATTGATGCTTTGGAAAGATGAACCATGTCTTTGCTCAAAACTGCCTAACTCATGCAGGATTCTTCCATCAAACTCCAGATAGTTCTGAGACTGGTGGTGCCTCTGAACTCTTCTCAGTGACTCTGCTCAGTATATCCCAGATCTTTTCTCTCCCAGAACACACACACAGGATCCTGCCCTGGTGCATTTGCTTTGGAGCTTCCTCCTGCCTAGTAAGATCTTCCTCCAAACATCTTGACAAATTCCTTCATGTCCTTCAAGTCCATCCTCAAATGTCACCTTGCTAATAAGTCCCATGCTGAGCCCCCTAGTAAAACAGCCATCTTCTCTGTCCCCACAAACCCACTCTGACACCTGCCTAGCAATACTTACCACCTAACATGAACACTGTCCTTATATACTGTGCTTAGAGTATATCTTCTTCCTTTTTCCTATAGAACACAGGCTCCATAAGGGAGGAACTTTTAGGGTTTGTTTTCAGTTCCCCAATGTATACTAGGTATAAACTGTGTGCCATCTACTCAATTTTCAATAAATGAGAGCTAATGAATGATCAGTGTCAGCCCTCCCTCTTCTAGAGACACTGTCTTTATTAATGGAGCCTCAGATCAAATGCTGCTGTGTCATCTGCAGGCAAGGGCTTTTCACACTGAGGCCAAAGCCATTTGTGCTTTTCTCACAAGTGCTGCCCTCCCTCCCTCCCTCCACATCAGCCCTCCTGCTCTCCACAGCAGCTAAGGACATTTTGATCTTCAGAAAAGATGATCGTTGACTAATGGGTCATATTTCCCAACTAACTAGAAGCCTGTATTAGACTCTGTGTTATCAATCCAGAAATCTGAAATGAAGCAAATGCTAGTATTAGTACAGCTAAAGGCAGTGAAACTGCTAATAGGGAAGATTAGAATCCTAAGAGGACTTTATCTAAGATGAAAGAAATCATGAGATTCTTCCTCTCAGCTATTCCCATATATGGTTCCCTTAAAAATATTGGAGGAATGATGGAAAATACAATCCAGGAAACTGGCCTGGGTTTTGTGGGACAATGACAGGAAAAACAAAACAAAACAAAAAAACTACAAAAAACCAAAACTCCTGCTGCTGTCAAGATGAGAGACAACCCAGAGGAGATGAGACCAGAATTCCATTTAATCACAAAATCAAGGATAATTCTCCGTAGAAACTGAGAAGCAAAATTAGATAGGAGCAGAAGATCAGACTCAGGTCTTAGTCTATGTTAACCTTGTGGCATGATGACCTCCCTACCCATGGTCCTGGAGACAGGACCAGCCCTGGGAATGCTTGAGTCCCTGTCATCACAGGTCCTGATGGGATGAGGTTCAATCAAAGGGACAGGACTAAGGTACAGGGAAGATGATCCAGCTGAGGAGTAACCACATCAAGGCCCAGGGTGGACTGAGCCCAGTCTGGGTGCTACCATGTCCATCCTCAGCTGCTTTCATCATTCTCCTGTCCCCACTCACAGCAGACTCAGCACAGCAAACACATGGATTCTGTAAGGTTTCAGGTTTTATTTTCTCTATTGATTTTAGGAAACTCCCTTCCATTTAATTAACCCATTGACCATATTTCATGGCACAAATTTGAAATAGAAATCAATATTCAGATTCATTTTTTTCAATAGGGAAAGAAGCAGCTACAGCTCAGGGCAACAAAAGGCTAAATCAGGAATGGAGACATCTTAGCCCCAATTTGCACCATAGGAAAGTTGATTGAGGAAGAGAACAGAATAGTGTGGGAGGGGTCTTGGTGGGATATTCTCCTCTCTCCATTTTCTCACATTATTATCACAGGAATACAGACGCATAGACAGTTACATTCCAGCTGCACAAAGAAAAGTTGGGACCCCTTGAAATTGCAGTAGGAAGCAGGAAGAGAACTGAAGAAATCCTGTATTGTTCAGTCCCACAGAGGCAGCTGTCTCTCACTGTAAAAGAAAGTATTATGAACAAATTCAGATCACTCAATTGTAATAAAGACACTCTGAACAACCCATTAAACACTGAAAATGTCAAAAATCCTTGTGAGAGGCCCTGTAACTCAGGAGTCTCCCCATTCCCCAACCCCTCTCTCTCTTTAGGCCCTCCAGGATCTCACCTGTCTAAGCAGTGAGAGACACATCAGAGTCCTGGGCACTGTCATTACCTGAGCAGAACAAAAAGAGAACCTGGTCAGAGTCCACAGGAGATGTGGATAATGAAGGAATTATGGGATGGATCAGCTCCCCCATCACTTCCCACTACACTAACCCAAGGGCCTTGGGGATCACTATTCTTTGTACTTACAGGCAGCTGAAGCATAGGTCCTTTTTTTTACTCCTTTGGGAAGAAAACATCCTGTGACAGAACAGGTTAAAGACAGGTCTTAGAGGTGCCCCATAGTCCTGGACACTGGGACAGTCTCCAGAACTGTGACTGCAGATGTAGGGAAGAATCAGGAGACAAGAAGAAAGTAGATAGATAGGAATGGCACCAATTTCTCTCCTGGAGGGTTGCTCTGAGCAGGAAATTCCCACCCGGCCTCTAAATGTTGGGAATCAGGTCCTTTTCACCACAAAAAATCAAGAAGATAAATTTGCTCGGTGTGGTGGCCCATGCCTATAATCCCAGCACCTCAGGAGACTAAGGCAGGAGGATCATGAGTTTACAGCCAGCCTTAGCATAAGTGAAGTGCTAAGCAACTCTGTGAGATATTGTCTCTAAATAAAATACAAAATAAGGCTGGGGATGTTGCTCAGTGGTTGAGTGCCCCTGCATTCATCCCTGGTATCCACCCCATCCCCCAAAAGCATAACTTGTCTTTTATTTTTTATATGTTTTACAAAGATTAAACAGTATTCCAGGCCGGGTAAGGACACATGTAGCAGCTATTACTTCCAATGAACAAGGCAGGGCACATTTCTACCAGGTACTTGAAACCATCAGTGGAACAAAAATTCAGACCCTGCACTTTTCCTACCTGTGTTTTTCTTCTTCCACAAGACAAAAGGGACCACAGCTCCAGTGATAACAGCTCCAAGGAGGACCAGGCCAGCAACAATTCTCATGATGGGCTGAGAGGGTGGCTCTGGGAGAGGTAGGGAAATTAGGTGAGGGGCCCTCATCCCCAGTTCTCAATCCCTACCCTGCTGAAGATCTCCAGAAAAAGTCTCCTGCTTCCTGACAACAGGCTCTGGGCCCTCATCCCCTCCTTACCCCATCTCAGGATGAGGGGCTCAGGCAGCCCCTCATGGTGCACATGGCATGTGTATCTCTGCTCCTCTCCAGCAGACACCACCACAGCTGCCCATTTCTGGAAGTTTCCATCCCCTGCAGGCCTGGTCTCCACAAGTTCCATGTCCTGGATCTGGTCCTCCCCATCTCGTTGCCAGTTCAGGGTGATCTCCTTAGGGTAGAATCCCAGGGCCCAGCACTTCAGAGTGACATCTCCGTCAGGGCTAGTGTGGTGAGTCAGATGTGTCTTTGGGGGGTCTGACGGAAAGAATAGGGAAATTCAGATATTTTTGCATTACCACTCCTGGATCACTGAAGCAGTGCTCACATAACTATCTGGAGAATGGACAGCACAATTTGGGTTGGGGAGGGAGCACAAAACTTAGACACAAGTCTGGGTTGAAGCTTCTGGCATAATCTCCTATTCCTTGCAAAGTTCTAGAATCTTGTTAAGACAACCCAGTGTAAGAGGCTTCAGGTGTCTGATGGGGACTTAGAGTTCTGATCTGGGTGGCGGCTGAGAGATGTTGAAAAGTTGGAGTCACACCTCAAAGACAATAGGCTGGAGTGGACCTGACCATACATGCCAAGGCTGTTGCCAAGGGAACTGTGCTCAGTTATTTATTGTCTTTCCCACCAGCCAGGGAGAGAGAGACCAGCTCCCTTACTTGTCCTGAGAGAAAGCAGCCTTCAGTTCCTCTCAGTACAGCACCTGGCAGACTCACTTCCCTCTGGAGGAAGAGCAGGGTGGTGTTCTAGTGTGAGTGTTATTCTCCTCCCTTTCTCGTGGGAAGAGAGTGGAGAGATCTACAGGACATCAGGCAGGAGTCCCACAGCCTCTAATACCTAAGCGCTGCAATGCCTCCTTCCCGTTCTCCAGATATCTGAGGAGCTCCTCCACACAGGTACCCTCCAGGTAGGCCCTGCTGTGCTCTGCGTCACCGGCTGCCTCCAACTTCCGCTGGGTGTTTCGGGCAGCTGCGTCCGCTGAGGTCCAGGAGCTCAGGTCCTCATTCAGGGAGATGTAATCCTTGCCATCATAGGCGTACTGCTTGTACCCACGGAGGAAGCGTCTGTCTGGCCCCACGTCACAGCCCCAAATCCTCTGGAGTATGTGAGAGCCTGTGTCCCCCCACCCCGGGGGATCAGCCACGACCCCACCCCGCCCACCCCATGGGTTTCCCCCACTAAATGTAAACGAAACCCGGTCACAGTCCCCGTGGGCACTCTCTGGTTCAAGGGTCTCCATGGGTCCCTCATTCTTGGAGTGAAGCTAGAATCAGGGAATCACTGCCAACTTGGGACCATCCATGAGGAACATCGGAGGTGTGATCTCAGACTTGGGCCAGGGGTCACTCACCGCCCTCGCTCTGGTTGTAGTACCCGCGCAGGTTGTTCAAGCACACTAGGTGATGATGTGCGTTGCTCGTGGAAATCTGTGTGATCTGGTCCCAAAACTCAGATCCCTCTTGCTCCATCCATGGCGCCCGCGCCTCCTCCCTGGGATTCTCGGTGTCGCTGTCGAAGCGCACGAACTGCGTGTCGTCCACGTAGCCCACGGAGATGAAGCGGGGCTTCCCGTGACCCGGCCGGGACACCGAGGTGTCGAAATACCTCAAGGAGTGGGAGCCTGTAGGCTGGGAAACTGAGACCAAGTGCACCCTCCTCTGGTGCCCAACCCAGGTCCAGGTTGACGACACCAGGAGGAGAGGAGTAGGCTCCAGAGATACAAAAGGGGCGATGGGATGCGGGAGGGCAGGACTTAGGGGAGAGAGTGGAGGGTCAGGACCAGCCACGCCACGCTGGGGAGGATCTAAGCTGGGGGTTGCAAGGATAGGCTTTCTTGGGTCCTGAGCTATAAGTGGACTGTTGCCAGCTACTCCGGCGCAGAGGCCATTTCCCTCCTGACCTTTCACTCACCTGCCCAAATGTCCGTCAGGGCCAGGGTCCCCAACAGCAGCAGGAACAGCTCTAGGGGAGCCACTACCCCCATTCTGCAGCTCTGTGAAGATTCTGCATCCAGGCGGGTGGGTGGAAACTTTAGAACTGAACCTCGGTGAAGGTGACGCTGATTCGCTTCTCTAGGAGCAAGACACGCAATAGGAGTAATAACTGGGCCCCTGTCAAGAGTGTCTGGGAAGATAGACCTGGACCAGGTTGGGAGAGTGAGAAGTGAAACTTCAGGCAGAAGGGGAAATCCCCAGTGCTCTGTGTCCACACCCAAGACACCTCTCTAGATTCTGAGAGCCAAGCTGGGGGACCTGGAACTTTGGAATATTCTTCTGTACCAATCGCTCTTTGTTACACTGTCCCCTTTATTCATGCCTCAGGGAGTAAACAAACGTTTTGGTGTCAGGATCTTTATTTGCTGTTAAAGTGTAGTGTGCACTCCAGATGTAATCATGTTAATGTGGATTATGTCCACCGATATTTGCTACATTAAGCATTAATTTCAATGTAAAGATATTTTATTCCTTCAGACTATTGAGAACTACTTGCATGTTAACAGTAGTTTTAAGAGAATTAACTGTTTTCCAAAATTAAAAGATTTAATCAGAAGACTGGATCATTTTACTTTTTACAGTTTTTAAAGTCCTTTTTATTTTTCACTAGAAAACTGCTAGATATTCAGATCTTCTGTATTTAACCTGTGACTTTGGTTGAAACAAACAACAAAAAATGCAGCTTAATACAAATATGTAGGAGGGATGTTTTCAATAACGTTTTTGATAACGTGGCTATTCATCTTTGATACTACACTAAAATGACACAAGTGTTAGTTTCCTAAAGTTTCTTTGCCATGTGGACCCTGAAACATTGTCATTGAATAGTTCATATTCTACTGTATTAAAGTCTGTGGGTGTGTCTTGCATACTGAATAGATCTTGTGCTAATGCATGATATTTTTAAAAGTCACGCATTGATGGATCAAGTTATACAGACCTTCTAGTGTTAACATATTTAAGTGCAAATAATCAAGAGGTCATATGTTGATATTACCACAGATTTCACCAAAAAGTTTGTAGGTACTTGGGAGTCTGTCAAGGTGATTGTGGTGAATTCAGATTTTCCTACTTTGTCATTGAAAATATTGCTGTTTGCGGATTATCTCAAAGGGACAGACTCAGTTCATTTTTTAGAATGTTGGCCAAATATTGAAATCTAAAGAATAGTTTTTCTGCCATTTATTTTTTAAAAGCAGAAATTATATTCCAAAAAAATATGGCTGATACTGAGAAACTAATGTTATTCCATTTTTAAAAATAAATAAATAATAGCAGCTTCTACCTCAAGGCCTGTCCTAAGGAAGGGGGCGTGACCCTTGTCCTTGGAAAAACCCACAGAGCACTCCTAAGCACATACCCACCCTGCTGAGTTGTTTGTAAATAACAGGAGAGGTCTGTGGTGACAGGTGTCCCTGACTCAGTTAGGCTAGGTGAGGACTCATAGCAACCCCCCTAGCAACCTCCAATCAGCATGAGACAGGGAAAATACGTGGAATGCCAGATGACCCCCAAGTAGTTTATGGTGGTTGATAACATATTGGGAAACCATGTAGTTTAGCATGTATACCCCTCATGGCCTAAACCAATCAGTTCAAACGAACCCCCCTCTTGTACTAGCCAATTACTCCTACCCAACTTGTTCCCGCCAGTGAATGTGCTAATCAATATTAAGAGTTGTTGTTTGATTTTTCCGCGGTATGGAATGATTTGCTGTGTGATGTTGTGACGCATAGAGTATCCTCCCAAAACCTATAAAATCTCACTGAACAAAGGACCAGGACTCACTCCCTGGGACAGCTGCATTGGGAATGGTTGTGAGTCCAGGCTCCAGCTTGCAATAAAGACTCTTGTGTGCTTGCATCTGATTCGGCTCCTGGAGGTCTATTGGGGTCCCATGAATCTGAAATAACAATACAACCTAACAAATGGCTTTTGTTGACAAAAATACTCTTATTCTGGAGTGTAATAGAAGTGCTTTATGTGTACTTCCTATGCTATCAATTAAGTGTTTTTACAATGTGGACTCTGGAATGGTAATTTAATAAAATTAAAGATTTTTAATACTTCAACCAGATGTTTAAGAGAACTGACTTTTTCCCCCTTTTGCAATTAAAAGGTACTCAAGAATATAATAAGTACTATTACAATTTAGTATCATAGCTTCCTTTAGTGTGCATAATATTTTAGTGACATTATAAAAATGTTTTTTGATCCTATGGATCCTTTGCAATAGTCTAAGCACCTCCAAGGATTCCACAGATCTGTTTGAGAACTGCCGCTCTGAGCCAATGGTGGAATGCTCCCAACTGGTCCCAACTTATTTGTTCCTCTGCCATTGTTCTCAATAATTGCTGAAACATATAAAAGATATGGTATTTGTGAACAAGTAATTATGCACAATTATATATAGAAAGAAAACAAAAAGAAGTTCTTACAAATTAAAAAGTGCTCATATAAATGAATAATTTTTATTAGTTGTTCTAATTAGTTATTCATGACAGTAGAATGCATTTTGATACATTGTACAAAAATGGAGCACAACTTCTCATTTCTCTGACTGTACATGGTACAGAGTCACACCAGTAGTGTAATCATGCAGAGTAGGGCTGCACATTCAGCCTTATTCTAGGTGTGCAGGCATCCAGTACAGGTCTGGAAGTATTGAGGGCTCTGGGACAGGTGCCTTCACAAAGACCAAGTTGGTGGAATCCTGGATATGCTTGAACAAAGTCATGGAAACTGTCTTAGTGTATTTGGCTGCTCTAACAGAACACTACATATTGAGTAAATTACGAAGAACAGAAATTTATCTTCTCACTGTTTTTAAGGCTATAAAGTCCAAGGTCAAGTCACTGGCATCTAGTTAGGGCCTTCCTGTTGTTTCTTCATGCAACAGAAGGAGAAAGAGAGAGGGCAAGAGAAGCGGGAGGGTCAAATCCACTCTCAAGATAACAGTAAAGATCTATTTATGAGAGCAGCACCTTGAAGACTCACCCACATCCCTTTAGGCCGCATCTACCCACACCACTACATTGAAGATCAAGTTTCCAACATGAGAACTTTGGAACACACATTCAAACTATAGCAGACACTATGGGGGAAGAGTTTGGGAAAGTTCCAGTAATGAGTACAATAGAAACTAAGCAAAAAAAAAAAAAAAAAAGAATGGTTTTATTAACTGCAGTGAAGTTAAAATTTCAAGGCAATGAAAGTAATGAAGACTACAAGCCTGGTTGTGAATAACATTTCCTTAGTCCAAATAATGAAAACACCATTGGTATAATAAACATTATAAAATGATTGCCCTCTGATAGGGGCCTGTGAATGGAAGTTTTCCACTAAAAGTGCAAATGAAACTGTAAAACTAAGAAGAAGCCCCATTAGCATTCTGTTTACGGGCACAGAGGTAGCAATTAAAGCATCAGGCAAACAAAGTAAGGTAAGCTGCCTCTGAGGATCAGGAAATGGGGCTGCATGAAAGACTGAGGCCATTTGTCTTTTTATCAAGCCTTGTAGAAGTATTCGACCTTTCAAATGCTGTCCATGGTTCCCGAAGAAAAACAAAAGTCCAATGTTTAAAAAGAAAACACGAGAGAAAGGACTCAGATGTCTCTCTTTAAAGTGTTTCAGAGAAATAGGGCAGAAATGGGAGGGAGACATAGGAACAGGTGGGAGATTTTTATGGAGGGATTTTGCTTTATTTACTGAGTTTAGCTGTGTTGGTTTTAATGGGAGATATTGCAGTATGATTAATGCAAGAATGAATGAGCCACAGAGCGGGAAGTGATGATGTAGGGGAAGGAGGGGCCAGTCTTGTTGGGTGGCCTCAGACAGCAACAGCCCATCCATCATCACCAATGGGAAGAAGATGGAGACAGTTTCTGGTATGGGAGGTGTGATGGGATTATGATGCAGTTGTTACTTGAGTCCTAATTTCTTCTCTAGTGAAAAGAGAAAGAAGTTCATCCTGTAGGAGTGAGGAGTGGGCAAGTAGTAGTGGGATTTGAGAAGAGAGGAGAAAGTGAGAAATAGCCCCTTTAGAGGGCCAGAGAGCCAACTGACCTGGAAATGGCATTTGTAGAAGGCAGTGTGGGGGCCACTGAAGCCTGTGTTCATCATCTGAGGGAAAGAGAGGGAGAGAAAGAGAAATATGCAGCAGTCAGGCTGTAGGAGGAGGAGAGCAAGTTCAAACCCAGCCTGGGCAACTTAGCAAGGCCTCAAGCAACTTAGTGAATCCTTGACTCAAATTTTAAAAATTAAAAAAAAAAAAAAAAAGGTGGGGGACTAAGGATGTGACTCAGTGGCTAAGTGCCATTGGGTTCAATTCCAGTATAAACCCCCCCCCCCAAAAAAAAACAAAAAACTTCATAAAACTAACAACAACAAATAAACTAGTAACTCATAGGAAAAAACAACAGGTATACTAACCCTGAAAATAAAGAGGAGGAAACAAAGGGAGCCAATTTTGGAAAGATCTATGAGGCTAACTACTGATATGTTCTACTGGGATCATTGTAAAGTTAGGATTTATAGCCATAAATCTCTCAATGTACAACAGAAGGGAAATTTCTTTAGTAGCACAAACGAAAACTGAAATAAAGTTTGCCTGGTTGTTGACCTCAGCACCTGTGTTAAATAGGGTTGAATTGTGGAAGAAGATGCACTGAATGGGATGGTTGCTGTGACAGTTACTGAAAGGACCAACTAGGTTCAAAAATTACAATACTCAATATGAAGGAGGAGTTAAATATTAGATTGGTGAAGATTGTAGAAGGTAGACCCCCATTCTTCTGGTAAACATCAAATGGTTACAAATTGGGAAGTAGTATCAAGTTTCCTTTGTAGTTTTCTGCAGGGAGATGATCCACTTTCTATCTCATGAGAGTGTTCTTTGCTTGAGCTTTACTTTCACTTATAACAAAATTCTCTTGCTTGGTTTTACATTTCTGACTCTAAATTTTCTTTCCTGGGGGCACAAGAACTGAGGCCTGGAGTGGAGTGGGGAGTGGGCATGGGGATAGGAAAGATGGTGAAATGAGAAGGACATCATTACCCTAGGTACATGTATGATTGCACAAATCGTATGACTCTACATCATGTACAACCAGAGAAATGAAAAATTGTGCCCCATTT